CCACATTTAAAAAAAAAAAATAGAATCACTTATTTAACTTCATCTGATTGTAAAAGTTTCCCCACAAATACAGCAACTATTTTTAAGGTGACTTGCTCTTGTTACATAGCTACATAGTAGCTTTTTTTTTTTTTTTTTGTAGTGGCAAACACACTATTTCATTATTTTTTCCTTATAATGTAGCTCCCTGTAAATATTAACATTCTCCAAGATCCTTCTGAGTTTTGTTTATCATGATCACACTACAGTTGCATAGGTGGCTGTAGTTTATTCTTGGACTTCACGAATCCTTGACTTCAAGGTCATGTTTTCCTGCTTGCATTCTTCCTTCATTCCCTTTTCCGCTGCACATGTGTGCATACACATACAAAGCTCATTGCCTGCTCAGGAGGGATTTAAACAGAAGCAGGGGGAAGGCAATGGTAACATCCCTATGACACCCTTTCTGACCTGCTCCTATAAAAGTCCATATGGAAACAAAGCAAATCCCAAAGTAGATTCCTCACATCTCAAGAAAATCCTCTCGCCTTTGCTTAGTGGTATCAAAGCTTAGTTGTTGAGTCTTTCTGGCAAATTAACTAGTACCCCTCTAGCACAAAGCAGATGTCCTTAGCAGCCCTGGTTGTACTTGGGGCATTTATGGACTGTTACATTATACAGAACTTCCTTTACAGTCAGCTTTCCACAGGCCCCTCCATTTGTAGGGGCCAGGTTTTCCCTGACTTCCTTTGTAACTTTATTAGTAAGCAAACCACTGTTATCTGCTTCACAATCATATTAAAAATATATAAGCTTCTACAGAGACCCCCCCCTCCCCTACAATTAATAAAGACCACAAGCTTAACATTTCTCGCAAGGCTTTGCCCAGTGAAGAGCTGTTCCCGCTGGGGCAGCAAGAGAGATGTGCACCAGGCTGTCTCAGACACGGAAGGACTGCTACAAATTCCAGATAGTAGATTTCTTGTATTTGAAAATAATTAATGCAGATACACCTTCAAAATATTGTAGGACTAAGGATTTTTGTTTGTTTGCTTTTCCTGTTAGTCTTCTTTCTGTAAGAGCTGGTAATGAACTGAAATTATACAGGAAAAGTCCCAGCTAGAGTGCTTCATCTTAGCTAGATAGAAACTGGTACAGCTTTTCCATAGCTTGAGGAAATAGTGGGCTTCCACATGGCCTGCTGCAGGTACATGAGCTTCTTGTTTACAGTGCATTAAAATAAGCTCTGTGTTAATTTTTGACCTGTTGAAGAAAATTCTAGGTAAAGAGATTATCTGCATTGCTGCTTTAGATAGTTGATTAATTTTTGATTCGCTTGCTCAAAGGTTATATGAGTCACCAATTTTGATTAGCTGGGTAGAGAATAAAGTAGGATCATTCAAGATCATATCAGCACTAATTTAAAATAACTATCATCCCTTACTATTTTAGCTGCAAGGGGAAAGTTTAACTTACCCTTAACTTCTCTAGCTCATCCAGAGCGGCTCAAGGGATGCAGTATAACATCCATGAACCCACTGAAAACCAAGAAAGCTAGAGGATCTTCAGGACCCTTTTTGCCTTGGCCATCCTTTGCTCACACCTGCTTCCTCTTAGGAGAGTCAAGTGGCTCCACCTGTGGGTTTGCCGACTGGGAATTCCTGCCTGTCTGGATTGGGAGGGCCTTTTGAAGGTAGTTGTCAAACTACTTCCCCCCTCCATTTCCATAGCTCCTTAATAAATTGTAATTATTCTTACAACACATTCTGCAGAGATTTGCAACAATGCAAGTGAGAGAGGAAGGAGAAATCAGATATAGGGACCAACTGCAGTTATACAGCAGCTGCTTCTGTCATATCATGGCAGCAAAACCAAAGTCAAAGCAGTTCTACAGGAATCTGTTAGGAACCAGCTTAGCAGCTCCAGAATTGTTGTTGTAACCACCTTCTTTTAGCATGACATCAGGCCAGGAATAAACTTGAAAGCCCCTTTTTCGCTCTGTGATAGCACTGGTTCTTCCGTTGCCAGTTGTTGCAGGGGGATACAGTCTACGCTGAGTTCAGAATAGATTTTCTAACAGTGGTTTGGATGCTGCGTGTGCCTAAATGTAACAGAGTGCTGAGAGTACACCCTCTGGCTAGGTTAGATGTGGAAGTTTGTCTGTGATACGTGGCATATTAAGCACCCGAATACCCACATGTTACAGATTCATTACTGGCTGCTGGGAAACAGCACCACCGTTTTCTTCAAATGGCTAGTGATGAATATTCTACCATGGAAATGGGAGAAATTCCTTGGTCTTTGCACAGTCAACTAATCAGAATAATCACTTGCAGGGCGGAATAAAAGAGTAAATATATCCTTGCCAAGTTGGCAGGGAAATGTACAAAATAAAGATTTTTTTCCCTTATGATCAACTGCAAAACATCAACTTTCTCAAATAAATCTATGCAAAAAGACTGGTTTTTGATTCCTCTGCTGCTGTTTCCACTGGTGAAGCCTGCTGCTGTACATCGGAATAAGCCAGGCATCTGTGTGTTTTAATGTAACAGCAGGAAAGGAGTTTTGTCCTTACAATCAAGCAACCCTATATTTTATCTTTGTGTTAGCATCTTGTGGGTTTTTTGTTTGTTTGTTTTTTGGTTTGTTTGTTTCTGTTTGTTTATTTATGTTCTAGCCCAACTGCTTTAGACTCTCTTCAGCTTCTGAGAGTTAATGGAGGATGGAAATAATTTAATTGATCAGTCAAGTAACAACCGATAGATTGTCCTCAAATGTTCTGCATATGCCTAAGTGATTCAAATAGGCTGGTGCTGCAACAGTGTAAAACATGAAAAACAGCCTTTGAAAATAACCAGTTTCAAGTTCTTATATGTAGAAACTAATAAATGGAGTCAAGCCTCTGGCTTGCCGAACTGCTTTATTAGATCTTCTTTCTCCAGATGCTCTCTGATTTCAGATTCCCTGATTGCTTAGACCTGCTTGGGCAACTTGCAAAAGAAGAGACAAATTTGTTGAAAAATTGTTGTTCAAGGAACTAGCTCAGGTGTTTTTATACCCATGATGCAGCTAACTTGTAAATGGATGAGCTGCCATGAGTAATGAGGAATTGGCTCTGGACGAGTTGATACTCATTTGTTCATGCTCATGGGAAATAAGTTTATCTTTCTGGCATATGTCATTTGTAGCAGTCAATAAAAAGAGGCCATGAAGTAGATGATTTTCTGATAGTAAATCAGTTCTTCTGCTGAGATTATTTAATCTCAGGGAAGCAGAAATGGGGACTGTTAACAATGCCATGAGGATAAACATTCCCAGAGTATTTGTTCTGAAGAATCAAGATGTGTTTTAGAACACTCAGTGCATTAAACCAGTTTTAGAAAAGCCAAATACCTAAATCCAGTGATGTTAGTGCTGGGATTGCTTAAGGATAAATGCTACCCAAAAGGGTATTTTCTGAAGAAATTAAACTCTTCTGCATTAAAAATTTCTCCACTTGTTACCTTATTTGCTTATATCAAATCCCAATCTATTTCCCCATTTGTGGTGTCAGAGCTACTAAAATTCTAGCAGAAAATTGAATTTACTGAGATATTGTAGATATTATGTCTGTTTGGAGGTAAATGATGACAAAGAAACTGATCTGAATTTTGAACTTTTTTTTTAATGGATGTTAATGCAAGTATCGTATCAGTCCTGATAGAAGTGTATTACAGTATTTTTTATGGCTTTTGATGCTTTCGCCCATATTGGGAGAGACAGAGAAAAGTGTAATTCCATAAATAAGGCCCACGGGAAGCCAGTCATCCTAACAGCTTAGGACATGGACAAATGGTCTCATTTTTATGTATGTATGCATACGTTTTATGTATTATCCTGGAATATGCTTAAGAAGCGAGTCAATGAATCTTGTATTAACCAAACATCTGAAGCCTGATACATTTATCTGGGTGAACAGGAAGAACAAAGTATTTGTATGGGTCAGAGCGTACGTACGCTTTCAGTTCCTGTTTCCTTTAAAAGTTAAGCCAGGTGGGGTCCAGCACAGAGAAACAGTAATTTTTAAAGACAGAGAAACAGCAAAAACCTCTGTCAGTTCTGTAAGTGCCTTGTGTTGTTTTATAGAGCTGGTTCCTGGCTCTTGTTACCCTTTTACTTGAAATTCAACATGCAGTCAAGCAGGCCTGGGCAGTGTGTGTTACTGACAGTCCTACCACTCAGCAGTCGCAGTCATTCATAGCACACAGCTTGTCCTGGAGGAAGGACCACAATATCCCTGTCTCGTGGCAGTGCTGGAGAGCCTGGCGTTCGGGAGCGCGGCAGCGCTGGCTGTGCTCTCCTCTTCCCAGCGGAGCAGATGCAAACACCGCTCACTTGCATCAGCTGCTGGCTTCCAGCAACATGCTTAGTCTGCCCTAGCAGTCTATATGAGTGGCTTGCAAATGCTCGTATAGCCTTAACTGGTGTGCAGCAAGAACGTGGCGTTGCTACTCCTAACTGTGGGTTTGCATGTCGCTTTAAAATTAATGTATGTTGTGAATTAAAAAAGAACAAGATCTTTTCCAACTTCTTCACGCAAGAGATGAAGCCTCCTGTGCATGGGACAGCAGTCAGGTAGCTCAAAGGTGCAACATTTCATTTTCCAGCTACATCGTTCAAGTATCTCACATTCTGCCAGGTAAAATGGTCCTAAATACTTAAAAGTTTCTCTTGGTTTCTGTAGTCTGTTGGTCTTCTTACACAAATACAGTGGATGGCTGTAAAGGCAAAGATGTACGTGCCGAGGAAGAGCTTCAGACGGATTTCACAGTGTTGCAAACACCGTCTTTGCTGCATTTGCAAAATTCATTTCTTACCTGTACAGTACATGCTCTTGTATGATGTATACTAAAGGCAGTATATAAAAGCTTGAGAACTGAAATTGATGCAGGATGCTTAGATGAGCCAAAGCTTTTGCTTTTGAAACAGAGGAGCTATTTGTGTGTTAACCCCCATTGATGTAATGCTCTTTTTAAGGCTCATCAGCAGAGCAGGAAAGCAGACCGTTTGCTGGCAGCAGGAAAATATGAAGAAGCAATTTCTTGTCACAAAAAAGCTGCTGGTGAGTAGGTATTTCTCACATTCCAGCTTTTCAAATCACTTTCTAGATTCACCTGCTTCATATAAATAAAGTACCTAGTAACTTGCAGAGTACTATTTTTATTCTTAAAATGTGAATTCATTTTTCAGTCCAGATCAAAGTCCCATTTGGAAATCTGTTCTCTAATACGAATAGCTACTGCCAGAAATGTCCAAAGTAGTTTTTTTGGGGGATAGCTGTCACTGGCAGTTCTAGACTCAAGATAAATCCAGCACCTTATGTCATGGAAAAATTGCAGATGCAAACCTGGTTTCACTTCACTTTACACTTCATCTTTTCTTGGCTTCTTTCATACCTTTAGTAACTTCTTTCTCTGTTGATGAAGGAAACACTTAGACACTTTTTTTTAAGTAAAGGGTTTATTTACTTCGATTTTCTAATGTCTCAGTCAAGAAAACTTATATGTTGCTAAAGGGGAACATATAGGGGCAGTCAGCTCAGCTCCTGTAGAAGTCACACAAAAGAACAGATTACACTGGAGGCTTGGCACTGCAGGTGACAGCCCTCCCTTAACTGAGGTTTTGTTCTTCTACCTGTCCATGTAACGAGTCACAGTTAATTGTTTGTGCTGAAGTCCATGAACTGGCTGACAAAGTGCAGCAACCACTTGGCAGAAGAAGAAAGAGGATGTCTTAATTGGTGCAACAAGTAGGACATTTCCAGTGACAGGACTTGTATGGAGACAAAATAAGTGGTTACTGTGAACATTGTAACCTAGATACCAGGCATTCTTGCTTTCCATTCATAAATACTTAAAAAAAGTGAGAAACTTGTAATTTCTTTGGTATATATGAATACTGAGAGCAATGAGAGATGGCACTTAAGTTCTCTTTAGCTCTAATACACAGACTTTTCCTTTTTGTTCCTTCTTGGCACATACTAAAACAAACCAAAAAATTCATTGAATGTTTCTTGTTTTTCTTCAGTGGATGATTCTGCACCATTATATTATATCCTTCTGAATTTGATTAAGAATTTCTTAGCCCTCTTTTGTCATTTTCAGCACCAGCAAGATAGGTGCAAAGCCTCAAGTACTGCTCTAAGCAGCTTTTCTGATTTGGAGGGGAAGTTGATGAAGAAGTGGGTAACTCTGATGAAGGACAGCAGTCCGGGAACATAACTGAAAAAGCTTTGCTTCGTAGTTTTGGCATATAATGAGAGAGGATTTTACTTACGTGCATGTTAAGGAAAAGCATTGCATTTTAGTGCTGACTGGTGTAGCTTTGCCACGTAGGGAAGTTGCTCTTCCTGGCATTTTCTGAAAACAGCTACCATCATACGGGGCTGGAGTCCTCCTCTGAAGACCAAATTGGAGCCACTTGAGCTGACAGGATGCAATGGCAAGGCTGTAGCATGTGTTAGATGATCCTATGGTAGTATTTTTATACTCTTGAAAAATAGAATGTGTTGCCAGCCCCTGTAATTTAGCGAAGGTTTTGCCTTTCTCCTCCTTCTTTTACCTAGCAGTTCAGAACATGTAAGGTCTGAAGTTTTTTCTTAGCTTTTAAGGAAATACTAAGGTTTTGTAACCCTGCCCTAAGTGTTTTTCTCTCCTGCAGCCTACCTGACAGAAGCCATGAAGCTGACCCAGTCCGAGCAGGTGAGAGCCACGTGCAGCGGCCTCCGCAATCAGCTCGCCCTTCTGGTTTCGTTCATCCTGAGCGGAGATGGCGGGAGCACAGCCCTGTGCCGTCCTCATTTGTTGCACAGAGCTGTGTGGGGTTGCAGTAGTGCAGCCTGCTCAGACCTTCCAGAGCAGCAGGCTTTGAGTTCAGACAATAGTAACACAGTCTCCGTTTCAACATTGATCTGACAGATCTGACATCTGCCTTTCCTGCCAAGGGCCATTCTTACAGAAAAAGGGCCACCTCTTTTCCAGGTGGTTCCTGTGAGTTATTAAATACCCCCTTTCCTTCAAATATGGCCACATCATTTTGGACCATATTAGGCATTGGGACACTTTTCTGCTTAGTGGTGCTGTTGATTAATATGTTAAAACCCAGTCCTTAATAATACCCCTAGTTACAATAAATCTAGGGGACATATCAGAATTTCTTTTGGATGGATTTAGCATCTGAATAACAAAAGCCCCCCTTCGCCCCGGGACATGCTGTGATGCTGGTTCTGTAAACGTTTACGTGAACGAAACTTCACGTGCATGAATATGCAGCCGGATTAGGTACCACCTGCTGATTTGTTTACCCTTGCTCCTGCACAGGCACAGCTATCACTGGAATTACAAAGGGATAGTCACCTGAAACAGTTACTGCTCATCCAGGAGAGGTGGAAAAGGGCAAAGCGAGAGGAAAAGCTGAAAGCTCAGCAGCATGGTGACAAGGACGTAGCCGCACACCTCCAGGCTTCCTGTAAGCCACCTGCTGAGGAGTCTGATGATCCAAACGTATTGGTTCCTGTTACTCAGAAATACAGCCCTTCTGCAGAGAAACATCTACAGAATATTCAGGGTGTCTTTGACAGGGACCCAGATACACTATTGTTTCTGCTTCAGAAAAAAAAAGAGCCATTGGAAGCATGTATTGGGAGTAAAGCTCCAAAAGATGACAAAACAATAATAGAAGAGCAGGCAACCAAAATTGCAGATTTGAAACGGCATATAGAATTTCTTGTAGCTGAAAATGAGAGATTAAGGAGAGAGAATAAGCAGTTAAAAGCAGAAAGAGCTAGACTCCAAAAATCTCCAGTAGAGAAGGAGTTGGATGTAGATGCCGACTTCGTAGAGAAGTCAGAGTTGTGGGGTCTGCAGCAACATTCAGAAGCCTCTTCAGCTGCGAGTTGGCAGAAGTTTGGAACAGCTGCTGGGAAGGCAAAGGACATTCCCATACCCAACCTTCCTCCCCTGGACATCCCGTCCCCGGAACTGCCTCTGCTGGAACTTTCTGAAGATATACTGAAAGGACTGATGAATAGTTAAAAAAAAAAAACAACAGGAAAAGTGCTCATTGTAGTTATCCAAACTGAGAAAAGGGAAAACCACCAGGACAATGATGATGTGAGGGCAGAAACATGCAACACAATCGTACTGTTGGAGAAAAGGCATTAAAGCAACTTTGTTACTGTGAAATACACATCATATCTGATCTACTTCATGAAATTTAAAGGTACCATAATTGGTATAAGATGATGAGCTCTTTAGTCTTTCTCCTAATGTTTCAAACCAAATGACTGCCTGGAGAATGTTTCCAATAACACAATCCTTCAGGGTTTTAAAGTATGCTATATGTAATAGTTATCTATAATGCCATAAATGATGGTGCAGAACTTAACTGTTATGGTTGCCAGTTGGCTGCCACTTCATATTGAAAAATGCTTTCTAGCATGAATTTAAACTGTGCATTTCATTATGCATAACTGTTAATTCAGATACGGTGCAATTTATACAGCTCCTAGATTGATTAATGTGCCACACACTACTCTCCTGAGTAGGCTAACCTTAAGTCAGGAGAGAGAAATGTTTCCATTCTGTGAAGGAACCAACTTACTCATTCTGTTGAGGTTTCATTTGGGTTCTCTGTTTACATAACTAATCAGGGTGCATTGAATCTAGCTGTTGGTTTCTGTATAAAGTGACATGGTTAAAAAGAAAATCTATACGTAAGGAAAAATACCCTTTTTGTTTTCAGTGATGCATGAGTGGAAGTAATTCTACCTGGCAGTATCTGAGTGGAAGAAAAATTGTTTACAGCTTAACCTGATTCAAAAAGGATATGAAAATAAAAACCAAGGTGTTTTGACACTAACCATAAGTGCGTAAAATCTCTATAAATGTTGCAGAGTATAAAAAAATAAATTAAGATTTATACTAACTGTGTTAGTAAACATGTACAACCGACCTCCTGCGTGTTCCTCCTCCAGCACGTGCTGGCAAGCTGGGCTGAAGTCCAGGGCTTTGCTCGGTCGCCGCGGCGCGGGCCCGGGCAGCCCTCGCGCTGCGGTCCCGCTTCGCAGGACAGGACGAGGCCCCGCGCCTGGTGCACGTTACTGATTCATGGAAGCTGTGACCTCACCTAAGCTTCCCCAGTGTGGCTTATTGCTGTGGTGTTACGAGGTAAGTTGCTGGTTAGGGTGCGTTTTGTTTCCAGAATACGCCAGAAGAACAAAGAACAGCCCAGCGCTGTGCAGCTCCTCCCCAAGAGAATGTCCATGGAAATGAAACCCAGACAAGTACTGGAGGAGCTCCCTCACACTGAACTGGGGCAGGAGACTAATCTTTCTGGGGGGAGAAATGTTATTTTCCCGTGGGTAGAGCTCAGCACATGACTGCGCAGGACAGCTGTGATGACCTAATCTACTCCCAAGTGCTCTTGTGTCACATAAGGTCTCACTTTGCTCTTCTCACATAAGGACAAGTTACTGTGTCCGTTGTTACCTGCCCGTCTGGCTCTTACAGATAGGAAGTCAGTAGTTCATAACACTTCCTACCAGTAAAACACAGAAAACAGGATGTGCTCATGAGAAGGAAATAAACTTATTTAAGCACTTACCTAATCTCACATTTATATCTAAATGTTAGGTATAAACAGCAATTTCAGCTGTCTCCACAAAGAGTAGCTACAGAAATTGCGTTCTCCTGTCACATCATAGGAAACAGCTTTTAGCCTGTCTACCTCTGCTGAAGAATCAGGGCTCTTGAGTGAGGGAACGGGATACAAGCTGTACCTTCTGTTTCTCAGACGAAGCTACTGGTGCCCCGGTAGTTGGTTCCGGTTCCGCTCCTGTGCGTGGTGCCCTCGGCAGGGAACGCTCTCCCGCGCCGCGCGGGGCTCCGGGCTGGCGGGCGGCCCTGGCCCTCGCTAAACAGCGGCACAGGCTGCTCGTGAGGCCGCATCCTCCAGCAATGAGTGTATCTGCCTAGAAACTGGCCTTGCTTTGAATGCCGGGGCAGGTGTTAGGGGATGAAATAAGTTAATGTGAAGCATTTTAATTTTATCAAGTAAACAGCTCTTTAATCTGTTTTTAAAACTAAGCAGTCAGTCTAAAGAATAAACAACAAAAATTGTCATAAAGAATATGACATAAAGAATATTTACCTATATATATATATATATAAACTTTCCCCAAGGTCTGTCAGTACTTAATTTAAGCTTTAATAGTTTTGAGCTGCTTTCAATGACTTTTGCTTTGAGTTCTTGTATCATGAAAGTTAGAAAGAAGCACATGATTTGCCTCCCTGCACCTCGGCATTGGTTGCACTGTTGCTCACACACCTCTTGCTCATTTCTGCCTCCCAAGCGTAGTTAAACTCCCCCCGCCCCTTTTCCTCATTTTTCGCTTTTTTTCCTACCTCTTCCTCCACAAGATGAAGTTACTAGACCCGCACCTAAAGACCAACCATTACATAGCAGGAGGACAGCAAGGATGTTCTCTCTTGCTGTTTGATGATGTTCCAGGCTGAATTTTTTAAGGCTGAACAGCTCAGGGGCAGTCGAGTGCTTTTCGGAGCGTTTCTTTGCCGAAGATGCCATCTGGTGGATACCCAGGATCTTGCTTGGTTGCATTAAAACGGAGAGCCCCCACTTCCTACTACAGAACAGTCTGCCTTTTCTTTACTAGCACCATTTTAGTAGACTGATTCTTGTTTCAAGAATAAAAGATATAGCAGTTTAGTCATTTATCTTTGTGCATGGACTGTAGCAGCAGTAAGGTGATTGCTTACGTGTGCGGCACGGTGTGAAACCCAAACCTGTCACAGGGGGCATGGAGACTCCCCCAGGCTTTGAGTCTGGTCTGGATTGTTTTCTACTGCACTGAACTCAAAACTTTGGTGGTTGATTATTTCAAAGCGTCTCACCAGGAACCAATTTTAAACATGTGTCCAGACACTGACTTCTATTCATAGACTTTGCTTCACCACAGAAACCACTGTTGTCTTGAAACACAGGAATATTATCCCCATTGAATGTAGCCAACGTGTTTTGCAAAGCAAAATGTAATTACACAATCTCTGACTGTATCCCCACAGAAGGGGAAACCAGAGAAAGGCAGCTGGGAAGCAACGTGGGATCTCTTGAGAATAAAATCTGCAGACTGCACCACCAGTTGCTACTTAGAATGACAGCTCAAACCAAATACAGAAGTGTGGGGTTTTACGTTTTGGTTTTATATAAAAGGAAAAGAGAATCTTGTGACTTCTTCCTCTGAGAGCATTTCAGTTTTCAGGAACTCTTTGGCTTTCAATTCCCTTCCTGCTCTCCTGTCAACAGTGGCTCTTCCACCATCTGCGACTCCCACCGACCTGCCCTCGCTGACGGGGACTCCCGCGTCAGAAATCCCTGTCCAAATGCACTAATGTGGAGATGATGTCTCTGGTGGCAGCTGTGCATTTACAACAACTCTGCCACTCACATCACATCATAGATTAAAAAAAAAAAAGCCAAAAATGTGACAATAGCTGCTGAAATCCCTTATTGAAGAGGCCTGAAAATACGGAAGAAACAAAAAGTCCTAGGAGAACTAATCAAAAGTAATCCAAAGGGCACTGGTGGATGCCACAAATGACTTTCAGGCTGGAGAACACTTGCCAAACTCTCCTGCCTGGTTGTGCGGCACACGGGCTACAACTGTGTGCACAGGAGCTCGGTGCTCCCTGCAGACGGGGAGTTAGGGCCATCTTTCTCCCACCCTGCTTCTTGCCCCATGTTTGCTTTACAATCTGGGTGTAACCTAAACTTGCTCGGGCTTTCTGGCTTGTGATCATTTGAAATGTTCCCTCAGGTCCATTTGCTGCAGAAGTTAAGGTATTATTGAGATCAAACAATATAAAATCCTTAGAGCTGTAAAAATACAGGATTTCCTGCCTCAGAGCTACCAAAATCTACTCTCTTAATTCCACTAAGGAAGCACAGAGCTGCAATAAAAACACCTGTCTTGGGACTGGAAAAAGAAGCAGGCATCTGTGTCAAGAATATGTTATATTAGTCTGGTTGGAAGGTAGCAGGAAAGCTCACTTGGAAACTTAACAGTAAAAATCTTCCTCTCCATCACTGCGGCTTTAGAAAGCTCCAAGTTCAAAACGCAACCACCTGTGCACAACACCTCAGGTAAAAACATGTCTTCAGTCCGCCCTGAGACAAACTTTCCTACCAGCTACATTGAGATGCCGACTTCCTCTTTGAAACCTACCCAAACAAACCAAAAAAGCGCAGAATCAGTTTGCGTGTGCCTCCCACGCCACAAATCACTCATTGCTCAGAGCTCCCCAGTCGCCCTGCTGGGGTGGAGTAGAAGGGATCCGGCCGTGGATGCTGCCTCCCTCCTGCCGCAGCGGAGCAGGGAGACGCGGAGAAGCGGCCGCAGTGCCGAAGGGGCCCAGGGCAGAGCGGTGCTGCCCAGCGGGGAGCACAAGGACAGGCCATGTTGGAGGGTGAGAGCGGGAGAGGGCACAAACGAAACGCCACTTACCAAGAAGGTCAGAGCACGTGAGAAGGCGGCACCCATCAGATGCAGGGGGTTGGTTAACACATGCAGATCGGAGCAATTTCCATGGAGCTGGAAAGGTAGAATAAATAGATTTAGAAATCAGAACCTTATAACCTGATTTCTCTGACCTATGCGATATGGACCATGGGGTTTCACTGCCAGCAAATCCAGCAAATTTTGTTTTGAGCTAAAACACATCACAGACAACCACCTACGCTGAAAGAGTTCAGGTTGTAGCACTCCTGCTGTACTGTTAATTAGTTATTCTTTATTAATAACACCTACAGCTCACACAGGGAGAATGTTGCTTTGCTCCTCTTGTGTGGCAGTGAAGGGGACAAGGACCACGAGGTATCCCTGGAAAGCAGTGACGGAGGCTGTATGTGTGGCAAAGGGGGGGCTGCAGGATTGATGATCTCTTGAGCTTTCAGGAGTGATAAAATGGAGATGAAGAGTTCCACGAAGAGCAAAGCAGAGCAAGAAAGATCTCCATCTGAGCAGGAAGGTGGAAGGAAGACACGATACTTCAAACGTTTGCTCCAGAGGCAGCTGGCAGTGCCCCTGCACCCCAAAAGCTCTAGCTGATAGCAGCGCTTTTGGCTGTTGCAAAATAACTAAGATCTTACATCAGAAAAAAAACTCCTAAGGAATTTTCAGGAAAGGAGCAAAACTATTCCCTGTGCGGCCTGTCAGACCTTGGAGGGGCTCTGCAGGGGGAGCTGAGCCAGGGAACAGCTCTTCCCCTCCCGTTAGTTCCTGGGGAGACACTGCCCGTGTTGTGGGCAGTGCACAGTGACAGCTGCAAGCGCAGGACAAAGCAGGTTGCAAAATGCATCAAATTATGTTTCTACACACCACTAATCCATGAGATTTACCCCTTAACCGCAATTTTTAAAAACTATCTATCTGGCATAACTACAGTATCAATTTACCACATACAAGCTCCTCTAAGCAAGTGGACAGTTGATTGTATAGTGAAATCATTATTTATACAGCTAAAGCTGATTTTTAAATCTTATTTATTTTTGCTGCTAAGGAAGCAAGGAAGATCTACTTACCCCAGCGTTTATGCAGCACTTCATGTAACACAAGCTTGATCCTAACAGCTCTGTCTCTCCAAAGTGTCTTTAAAATCTGTCAAAATATCAGCCTTTCTGAGAGTCCTTCCTCTTTCTCCATCAGTTTAACCCTCTGGGACTTTTGCAGGGTAATCTCTGCAATAAACTTAAGGGTTAGATAAGGAAAAAAAGGGGAGGGAGGGGGGAGAAACATTGAGAAGGTCATAAAGGAACCTGGATACTTCTACTAGGAAATAAAATCAAAAACTCCCCGTCTGAGGGGTCACTTGTGGGGACCAGAAGTTGCTACTTCTTCAGATAACTTACACACAAGCCCTTCCAGATCTTGTTAGGCACCTTGCCTCAGGGTAATCACTATCCACTTTTGGAGCCCTGGGCTAGCAAACACATCTAAAACAGAACACTTGAGTAGCCCAGGTGGTGATTTGCAGAGTGTACATATAGTTCAGCTTTTCAAACTAATTAAACGAGCTGGAATTCTACTCAATTCTCCAACAAATTTTACCATTATTAAATAAATGCACATATTTCTAAAAAAAAAAAAAAAAAAAAAAAACCCCTATTCTCTTTTTTTTAAATTGTAGAGTTAAGATGCTAAAAAAAAAAAAAAAAAAAAAGGCTCTGTGAAAATTCCCTTTCCCCTTCACCCAAGGAAAGTGTTGGATTATTAAAGACAGAACATAAAGAATGTTTAAATTATTTTATTCTTAACGAGAGGCTCTTTTTTGGCTCAGCCATTTGAACTGTGCTCCAGCACTTCCCTCAGCAGTTTTGTCTGCAGCCCGGAGAGGGCAGAATGGTGCACATGAACCAAGGCAGAACATTTCCAGCATTACAATAAGCGACACTGAAGCAGAGATGCATTTTGCAGTTACTGTGAATGAACAACTCAGGCTATCACAAATGTGCCACAAACATAAAAAACGAACACAATGACACAACATTTGATAAAGTCATTTTAATGGAAAATGTAAAACCCCTTTCAACTTCAATGTACAAAGCATGTGTAACACTTGCACTTTTAACAAATTAAAGCAAGCCAATGTTTTAAAAAAATACATCATTGAATGTATATATGTATATATTTACATAGCATATTAAGTTTAATATTTAGCTTTAAAAGTTCACATAAATTTTACCAAAATGAGACAATTTTTAAATAAATTACACCTTTTGAAAACGTTTAATTGTACACTGAATAGCTTCAATAAAATACTGAAGTGTCTGTATTTAATATCTACTTTATATACTTTATATTTTACAAAGTTTACAATTATTTGGCAGTAATTCTCAGATTATGACATGACTGCTGTGCGGACTCAGCAAGATCCCAAATGCAGGCAATAGCTGGTGTTTGTGTCCTACTCTCACAGTAACTGTCTCAATGTAGTGAAAAATATCTGAATTATTTTAGCAAACTGTACAAGTCACATTTACATTTGATCAACAATATAGCATAGAATTTTGTGTTTTTTCTTCCAAAAATAAATACATCATCTTAAATCTTTGACATTTCACAAACTTCATATACATTATAATACAGACAGCAGAACGCTGCTGCTTTGTCAGGTCTAACATGTAATCACAGTGGCTGTGATATGAAGCTCTACCGTTGCAGTGTCATTAACAAGTAAATATGATGACCATTTTCTTGGCACTGATGGTTTGTGAAGCTTAAATTAGTGTACATACTGTTCATACGTTAGAAAAATAACCTCCATTTGATGTTGACTCAGAAAGGCAGAGAGCACTTAATTTTCTTCCATGTCTTCCATTTCGCTTTCATGAATCTTCAAAGCTCTCACCATTTCTTTAACTGCATGATACAAGATATTTTTAACCTGCAAAAATATCAGACACATTTTCAGTAAGGCCTATGACTAAGGAACTGTAAAAGCAACTTGGTTTAGGACTGCACCCCAAGCTTAGCAGAGAGAAAAAACGAGCCAGACTACAACAAGCCAGGCTGAAAGGAAATACCTTTTTACACGTTTTAAATAATAATAATGTGAAAAAACCCCCCACCCTCGGCAGGGCAGTGCCTCCGCCGCTCGTGGCTGTTCCGCAGCGGCGGAAGTGGCTCCGCGCCGCGACACGGCCGCGGGATGCAGTTCCTACCTGCAGTTTGTCATCGTAATTGATTTCTTCCTTTGACAGCCTCAGCTCCTGCGTTAGGTGAAATGACTGCACAAGGTGTTCGGGAGACACAAAGTCTTCCGTTACGTGAACGCAGCTGTGAAAATTTTGCACCTATCCAAAACAAAAATGAGAGAAGACCGATAGTTAGTACTTGGGGTTTGCTCTTTGCCAGAGATACGTGCGGGAGCAGGGACCCGCTGCCTTCCCCGCTCGACGCGCAGCCCTTGCTCCTGGCAGCAGGCACAGACACCCGTCCGCGCGGCTGCGCCTCCTCCTGCGCGCGGCCCTGACGTCTCCTCTTACTCTGATCGCTCCCAGGCCTTTTCCCCGGCTGAGGAATGGCTACGGAGCGGCGCGGGAGCCTGGAGGCGGCTCCGGGCAAGACCCGCCGCGTTCACCGATGAGCAGGCGCCAGTTCAAACCCATCAGAGAAAAAAGCCCTGCAATAAAGCTCAGGTGGAAAGAGGCCTTTCTGCGTCCCAAACACGTCCTTCATGGACAGGAGAGGCAGCAATGAGAAAAACTGACACTGTGTCCTGCCACCCGGGCTGCGGGTGGATGGCAGGAGAAAGGAGCAGACACTTATTGTGACCTTCTGACCATGACTGCGTTATCATCCTTAGAAACCTACACTGTTTTCCCTACTAAGCCTTTACAATTATACATTTCCTTCAGCATGGTGCATAAAACCTTTTCCCAAATTCACGCAACCCCAATTCTGCAATGTGACCCCAGCTCCTGGGGCGACGAGGAGGCGCTGCCACCATCTTAGCAGCACGTGGCACCCCCGCACATGGTTCTGGTGAAGCCCTGCGTATTTACCCTGATGTTTAGCAAAATCTAGAATGCTTTAATGCACATCCTGAAGTTTCCATTGTGGTATGCGAGGCTCAAGAAAGTTTTTGTGTTTACACATCTGAAAAAAGCACCGATTTTTTTCCTCCAAAAACACTGTTTAACTGTTATCACTTTACAAGGAGCTTGGTATCATCAAGGTATCAGAAAGTATTCATTCCTAAGGGTGACGATGCAGTACGATTTCCCCTGCGGGCTCATCGGAACAGCGGCGGAGGGACGAGACGGAGCGACGGAGCCTTTCGGGGCCGCCCGGCCGCGGGGCCTTCCCAGCGCTCAGCCAGCGCCTCTGCCCCGGCCGCCCGCGCGCCCTCCTCCCGCGCAGCCTCCTGGCCTGTTTCAAGTCTGCACTTGCCCTCGTTTTCCTTTTCTCCCCGTGCAAATCCCACACACTCCTTCCCTCTCTCCG